TCAGATGGAAGTATAACAGAAATCGAATCACGAGATGTAACATTTATGGAAAGTGATTTTCCTAAAAGAAGAGAGGTTGAAAGGGAGTCTCTTCTTGAAGAGATAATTGACCCAACTAATTTTTTTTCTACTAACCAATATGTGGAAGTTGGTGAAAGTTCTCGTGAACTATCTCAACTTAGTGGGAGAGAAACATTGGTTAATAATTCTCCAAGAGAAGAATTACAAGAGTCCGAAGTGCGTAGAAGTAATCGTGGAAGAATTCCTCGGCGTCGATTTGATATAGAAGGGGAATCTTTCATGGTTGCCTTGCATGATGAATTAGAGCCTAGATCAGTTCAACATGCTCTCTCTTGCCCTAACTCAGCTGAATGGAACTGTGCGATCAGAGAAGAACTAGAATCTAAGAATGTAAATCAAGTCTAGGACTTGGTTGATCTTCCGCCAGAACGTCGAGCAAGTGTAAACAAATGGATTTTCAAGCTTAAACGAAAGGCGGATGGATCCATAGATAGGTACAAGGCTCGTTTGGTAGCAAAAGGTTATACCCAACAAGAGGGTATAGACTATGAGGAAACATTTTCACCAGTGGTGAGATTTGCTTCGATTCGCCTTCTTCTAGACATAGTTGCCGGATTAGATTTAGAATTACATCAAATGGACGTTAAGACTGCATTTTCTTAACAGAGAACTAGAAGAAGAAATCTACATGGAACAACCTATTGGCTTTGTGGAAAAAGGTCATGAGCGGAAGGTTTGTAAGCTCAAGCGTTCCATATATGGTTTAAAACAATCTTCTAGACAGTGGTACCTTCGTTTTCATCGGGCTATAACATCTTATTAATTTACGATGATTAGTGAAGATCACTCTGTCTATGTCAAGAGAACTGGAGAATCTTTTGTAATTCTATCACTATATGTTGACGACATCTTGTTGACTGGAAATGACATGGAGTTTCTAATAACCGTTAAGAAATGGTTATCATCTAATTTTGATATGAAGGATATGGGAGAAACAAACTATGTTCTTGGTGTTAAAATTCACCGAGATCGATCAAGGAAATTATTAGCTCTGTCACAAGAGTCATACATTCGTACAATCCTTGAAAGGTTTAAGATGCTTAATATTAACCCGAATGAAACTCCAATAGCAAAAGGTGAAGGCCTTAGCCTAATTATGTGCCCTCAGACCAATGAAGAGAAAAGTGAGATGGAAGGAGTCCCATACTTCAGTGCTATAGACAGCTTGATGTATGCTATGATGTGCACTTGACCGAATATTTGTTATGTGGTTGGCTTGGTAAGTCGTTACCAATCAAATCCAGCAAAGAAACACTGGATGGCAGTGGAAGGATCCTCAGATACTTAAAGGGAACAATGGACTATTCCTTGTGTTATCAAGGTAGTGATTTGCATTTGACGGGATATACAGATGCCGATTGGGCTGGCGATCTGGATGAGCGTAGATCAACTTCAGGATATGCTTTCCTGTTGAGTAATGGAGCCATTACATGGAATAGCAAAAAGCAATCTTGCACAGCTTTATCAACGATGGAAGCTGAGTTCATTGCATGTTCAGCATCAGTGCAAGAGGCTGTATGGTTGAGAAGATTCTTACAAAGTTTGCAAGTAACTACGGAGGCTTCGTGTCCTGCGACTATCCATTGTGATAGTCAAGCTTGTATTTCTTATATGAAGGATCCCAAGTATCATGGGAGGACAAAGCACATTGAAATTAAACATAGTTTTGTAAGAGACATTGTGGCAAAGAAAGAAGTGGTCCTTAAGTACATATCTACGCATATAATGGTAGCTGATCCGTTTATTAAGCCCATTCCTAGAGATGTTTTTGTTGCTCATGTTGGAGCTTTAGGTTTGCGTAGAATTTAGTGTATGTGCTAGTGGAGCATTTCCATGTAACATTGTATTTGTATTTGAAGTTTATTTATTTTTAATATAAATATATGTAATATATATATATATATATATATATATATATATGATATCACTCAAATTACCCTAAGGAGTGAATTACTCTCTCAAATAAGAGGTTCAGTTGTAGTACTTAGTGATCGAATCCACAAGGAACTAAGGAACACAAAAGATATAATCCTAGGTGATTATGCTAGGTTGATTAAGGTTTAAAAGTAAATTGCAGTTCTGAGCAATGGTGAGTTGCTCAAGAGAATTGGTTTAGGTTTTAAACAATAAAAGAAAGTAGTTAGATTCAAGGTTGCTATTCAGATAATCAGGATTATAATGCTACAGATGTCTTTATAAGTTGCTTGCAAGATATTAAAGAACTTCAACTCTTAGATAAATCTATTAGCAGTCGCTATTAGACTCGTCCATTGATCTGACTGTCGGCAATATCGACCAATGGGTTGATAGCGATATCGGACGATATGGGTAGCCGTCGATCGATTACTCTATAGGAGTATCGATCGATATAGCTTCAGATCGAATTGAATATGTGTTCACCAAGATCATAGACCGGCTCTCGTTCGTCCCTAGAGGATCTCATCTTATACCAAATGATTTCAGGAAGATGATTTAACAAGTTCTATCATTCCATGATCATACTCTAGTTAGCTACTCTAGAGTAAGCATTAGGGTTCATCACGATAATGAATATCACAACTTAACATTCCATAGTTGGGGCTAATCCCTCATAACTATTTGAACCCTAAATCTAACAAGTGAATCTACTCAGACATGGCTAAGTGATTCATAGCAACAAGGTAATAATAGAAATTCATTAGATTAGAAGACTGAATTCTTGGTTCTTTTGAACAACAAATCTCTTTGTGTGTTTCTTCTAAATCTAGAATTCTATAACCTTTTATGAAAATTAGAATAAGATGAAATGAATACTTTTATAAATCAAAGAACTAAGATCACAAAAAGCATGCAAAGCTTAAAAGGTACAAAAAGCATGTAAAAGCACAAAAAGCCTGTCTTGCCAAAACACATAGGCATAACTATAAATATGAGTTCCATTAGGTTAAAAACTCGCCAGGGGAAATCTTGTAATATTGAGAGAACTTGGGCTTCAAGGCCGAGTCAAACTTGTTCTTCACGCTTCATATCGATCGATGGTACATGGTGTACATCGATCGATGGAGTATCTCAATTCGTCATCCTCTATGGAAGCGTCGTCGATCGATTACACTGGATGTGTATCGATCGATATGTATCTCTGGATATCGACCTTATTGTCTGATCTTTATAGTCATCTCGGGAAAACTCTCTTTTAAGTCCATAAGGGCACCTAAATCATCATTTTACTCCAAAATGCTCCTGAACCTGAAAACATACCTAATAGACTCCAAAACATATATATATATATATATATTATAAAATCATATAAATACCATGGTTAAAAGTGGGTCAAAACCATGGTATATCAATATATATATATAATTATTATATACAATGGTATATACTTGATTTGCATACATACACATAAAAGTTAAGAAGTGTCACCAAGTAGGAGATTGGTTCACTCACATGAACAATCGCTTCAGATTTCTTAGTGAAATGCTGAGATGAGACTTGATTAGTTGGAGCTAGTGAGAGCTTGCCTTGTAAGACTTATCAGTGTCGCCTTAAAAAGAGGTTAAGATGAGATATATTTTTTTTGTATCGATCATGATTGTCCCAGAATCATGAATACTTGGAAGAGCTGGATAAGTACATAATCAGGCGCTAGAGAGAGATCTGATAATAGCTTGATCCACATAGTGGTATTTGATTATATAATTGACACATACTCTTAAGAGAAGAGTTAACCACTATGACATGTTTATCATAACACATGTGCTATGGTCCACGATATAGAAAGCGAGCGATTATTTTACTTTAATCCCTATCCCCCGCATGTGAGTTCCTATCAACCAATTTATGGTTGTAAAAGTTACCCTTGAACCTTAAACCATGTTCTTGAAGGAAAGAATTAATGCCTGCTACTTTAGTATGTTTTTCGACGGCGATGAAATAATTAGTCTTACGGAACATGCTAAGAAATAAATTAATTTGGAACAGATAAACATGAGACTGGAAGGAAAAACTATTAGTTTTTTATATTGAAATATGTGTTTTCTGGCCAGCCACTATATCACTAAATTGGAGTTTGGATATAGTGAATACATGGTGTAGGAGAAGTCTAACATATGCTTTAGGGATCAGGTATGTTAGACCGATATAAAAGACAAATGAGTTTGGGGAACAGCATGCTAAAAAAGAAAAAAGCTTTTTTTTTAAAGGGTTGTAGCTTGTATGTATCCCTAACAGGTTCATAATTCAGCTCCAAGTGTAGGTGTACTCGCAAGGGCCGCACGGTTCATTTGCCGTATGATTTCTGAGTTAGGATTCTCTTGCTTAATCTCTAAGACTTCTCTAAGAATTGACATGCTCCCAATCATGTGCGAGTGCGAGATATTAGTTAGTGTTTGGTTTACGCCCATGATTAGGCAGTATACCGAACCAGTTTGATTAACCAGTGGTTATGGGTTAAACTCCACCAATCAACATATGCTACTCTTCATGGAAAGTATGTGATTCTTCTTTGAACATATGTGTCTCTTCTGATTGAACATATGTGACTCTTCACAATGTATCCCTCGGTTATCTATAAATAGAATGCATTGTAGAGAGAAACAATCAATCCAAGCAATAAGAAAATAATTCTAGAGAGAGAGTAAAACATTTTAGAAAGAGAAAGCTTCAAGGAATCAACTAGAAGACCATTTGAATGGTGACAAGTGTTTTATTTCCATCTGTGATTTCATCCCCGACTCTAGCCCGATTGAATCAAGTAGTGTTCAACACTAAACCGGGCTAAGGTATGTTTTCGGTTTAACACACTTGCGCATTAGAAATTCTAACAGTATAGACTGCCTCTACATTCATCACCCCCTCTGTTTCACGCAAATCCAACTCACCCGGCTCGCACCAAAATATAACTCCGTTTCTGCTAAGACAAAAGAGCAAGTTATCAATCATGCACCAATCCCTTCCCTTCGGTTTCCTTTCTGTTCCCCACGATTCCCTGTTCCCCATTTACCTTCCCTCGGCGAGTAGTAAAAGGTTCTTTCAGCTTCATCTACTGCGTAAACCTTTTGATCTATCACCATACTTTCGTGGATAAGCTTCTTACCTCCCTTCCGTTTCGGCATAGGCGGAAAAGGATTCCAAGTCCGAGTCTTCGGGTGGAATACCTCTCCATAGTAGTTATCATGTACATCATCACAGCCTCCAAACACATAGATCTTTCCGTCTACGACACCAGCTTCCCCGTAAGCTCGAGCTGTTCCCATGGAAGGGATAGGGTGCCACACGTGAGTCCAACAATCCAAGCGTCAGACATCTGAAGTGCGCTGCTCTCCCTTTATTAACCCACCGATTACATATATGCTACAATCCAGCACCACCGCGGAGGAAGCTTCCAAAGGCTGGGAGGGGAGCGAAGGGATCGGGATCAGATCAGAGGCATCTAGGGTTTTCCTACAGCGGAGAATGTACCAGTGTAGGCCTACGGTTCGAACTGTAAGAAAATGAAGAAAGTTCAAGAACAAGAGAGATGAGAGATAAGAGTGAAAGAAAGAACAATTTATTCTTCTTAGATCTGAAAAATGTTATTACACTAAGTTATAAAGAGAAAGAGAACATGCTTATTTTAGTAAGCAAACATCTTTGGCTTATTAAAGAAGTTCAAATAAAATATCTATTTATTTTTATTTTTTTATGTTAATACTCCTCCCAAGTTTTAACATAAGAGCAAGTGCAACGAGGGATTTAAGTAAATCCTTAGCGTTGAAACCAATGCAAATTGGAGTTTAATAATATTATGCATGTTCCGTGAGCTAAGGATGAATCCTTATATAAAGTGTGCAAGGATTGAATCCTTAACACGTGTCAGTTGCCGTAGGAAGAGAAGAACCATCCGCCTTTTTGTTTGCTTTCCCAAATCTTATACATACGTATTATTCTAGTGTACCTGTGAAAAAGAGTAAATGGTGATTTTTTTTTTTGTTTCAAAAAAATATGAATATCTCTTTTTTTCATTGCTTATAGTTTTATAGAAAACTTTAATAGAAAAGGTCTGATGCGTTACTACATGGAAAATTAGAATTTATAAATATCTTGTTTTTGATAAAAGATAACGATCTTTACTTACAAATTAGTTTCTTAAAAAAAGAAACAACTTATAAATGATAGGCATATACATGAACAATTGAAAAATGATTTGGTTGAAAATATTTGGAACAAGTTTGCTGATGATGATGATGTATAATTATTGTATGTTTAAATTTAATCATTCAATAAATAAAAATTTTAAATTTAAATGTTTTACAATTTTAATAATTTTAAATTCCGAAGGATTCTGTAATGGGTAACACCATTGGACACACATAATGGACTAGAATCCTTAACTATTCTAAACAAAAAAAAAATTAATTTTTTAATGGCTAAGGACTCCAATGGTGGTAACACCATTGGAGGTGCTCTAAGGTACGGTTAAGTTTGGAACCCATGAGAACATCTATCATTAAATTTTTTTGTGTGGAAATACCCAATGGGAGAAAACCCCACAAAGACCCCATTCACGCAGAGAGAACATCTCTCAATCATGTCATTTTTGAATGTCCGCCTGCGGTCCAATGCTGGGCCTTATCGACAGTCCCGATGTGTCCGGGGATATTCCCGTGCCCCTCCATTTATGTTAACTTCGATAGACTCCTACAGTTACAAAAAGACCCCATTCACGTAGAGAGTACGTCGATGTTTCCATGGATGATCTGGTACTTATGGAAAGTGCGAAACGACAAATGTTTCAATAACAAGGATACGACACCATTGTATACTTTCCAACTAGCGGGTCTAAAGCTAGAGCTTGGACGATATCACAAATTCTCCCCGACATAATAAAGGAAGGGGACGTGGGGGAAGAGAGAACAGCTGAGGTGGAGGAACATGAGACAAGGGGACAATGGAGTTGCTAGCTCGATGCGTCCTGGGCGATGCAAGATACTGGAGTTGGCTTTGGTTTCATTTTGTTCAAAGGCAACATGGAGGTAATGAAGGGCCAAAGGAAACAAACCAATGTCGCATCACCACTTCACACTGAGGCAGAGAGTCTAATCTGGCCATGGAGGAACTTAGTGGACGCGGTTATAAGCAGGTGTGCTTTGAATCTGACTGCCAACAGCTCGTACAAATCATCCACTCGTCAAAAAATTGGCCAGCCCTTGATTCAGAACTTGATGCCATGGAAGTTCTTAGAATTTCTTTTACTTTCTTTTCGCTCAGTTTTATTTCTCGATCTATGAACGTCCGTGCGGACTCTGTTGCAAAAGAGGCCCGGTCACGAGAATCATTTCATTTGCATGTAGACACTATGGTTCCCCTTTCGCTAGCTCTTGAAGCTAGTACAAGAGGACCAGTTTGATTTTAATCAAACTTTTTGATGAACAAAAAAAAAGAAAACCCCACAAAGAAAAAAGAGTAGATGCTTCATGGTTTAAGGGGATCATGATTTAGCAAGGTCTATGAGTCCTAATCTCGGATGAATGAACTCACATACCTTAGTACTTTCTCCTTTGGTGAAGATTTCAACCAACTATTCTTCACTTATAATGTAGCAAGGTAAAATAATCTTCTGCTCTATAGTTTGTCTTACCTTGTGATAATCCACTTCAATATGCTTTGTCTTTTCATGAAACACTGAGTTTGAAGCTATATGAATGGCTGCCTGGTTATCACAATGCAAATTAATTGGTGTTGATGTCTCTATGCCAAGTCACTTAGCAAGTTTCTGATCCAAATGAGCTCACTGGTCAGTTTTTTCATTGCTCTATATTCTGCATCATCACTTGAACATGATACCACAATTTGCTTCTTGCTTTTCCATGTAACTAGATTGCCTCCAATGAAGATGCAATAACCTGTAGTAGATCTCCTATCCCCTTTATCACCAGCCCAATCTGCATCACAATAATCCACAATCTTTGTGATCTTGTTGCAACTCATCCAAACACCTTGACCGGGAGCCTCCCTTAGGTATCTCATGATCTTTTCTACCATATTCCAAGGATGAACCTTAGGTGCTTGCATATGCTGGCTGACTTGGTTCACAGCAAAACTGATGTCTGGTCTAGTAATGGTGAGATAAATCATCTTCCCAACGATCCTTCTATAGAGCTTGAAGTCTCCAAATGGTTTGTCTTCAAACTCCCCCTCACGCAAGACTTTGTAACTTTCTTCAAGTGGTGTTTTAGATACTCTTGTTCCAAGCTTTCCTGCCTCATTTAAAAGATCAAGTGCGACTTTCTTTGAGATAAGAAAATCCCCTTTTTAGAGCGTCATATTTCTATCCATAGAAATTACTTCAGTTCACCCAAATCTTTAATATCAAAGGTACACTTAAGAAAAACTTTAACGAGATGATACCTTCTTTGTCACTTCCTGTGATGATAATATCATCCACATAGATCAGTATCACCATAATTCTTTTCTTGCTTGTGAGAGTGAATAGAGTATGATCAGCTTCTGATTTTACAAACCCTCTTCCATTGAGAGTTGTACTCATTTTGTGATACCAAGCTCTTGGTGACTGTTTTAATCCATAGATTGCTTTCTTCAACCTTAGGACATTTTCTGGCTTGACCATATCTTCCATACCAGGAGGTGGTCTCATTTAAACCTCATCCTCCAGTTCTTCTTGTAGAAAAGCATTCTTGACATCCATCTGCCATAAGTCTCATTCTAAGTTCACGGCCAGAGAGAGTAGAATCCTTATAATATGCAATTTGGCCACTGGTGTAAAGGTGTCTAGTTAGTTGTCTCCATAGACCTGAGTGTACCCTCTTGCAACCAACCTTGTCTTCTTCCTTTCTAGTTTTCCATTAGCAAGATATTTGATGGTAAAGAGTAGCATGCTGGTCATAGCTTTCTTGCCTTTAGGTAGCTCAGATTCAAACTATTTATCAATCCTTTCCATAGCACCCATCTCATCTCCCACTGATTCTTTTCATTCATCAACTTTCATTGCCTCTTCATAGGTCTTTGGGATCAAGTTTCGGTCGAGATTGGTTAAGAAGACTTGTTGTTGACCTAATGAGATGACTTTCTCACTCTGGTGCTTCTTCTCAATGGCTGAATCTGTTTCTCTTCTTCTGACACAGTTTCCTCATGCTCCTCTTGATTTAAATCCTCACTAGACTGATCCGAATCTGCTTCTCTTATACCAGCTTGATCATGTGATGGTTCTGAATCATCTTCCTCTTGTCTCTAGTGTTGAGATTCAGGTTCACTGCCGCCCTCATGATCAGGATGGATTAAAAGATAGATTATGTAACATCAGACCTAAGGCACAAGAATGAGGGTGACCTAATCTAGCATGCCATAACACATCACTAACTAAAACATAAGCAAAATTAAAAGCACAAGATAAATCTGAAACTTTGGTGTTTTCAAGCAAATATAGCTCTCCCTTGCTCACACCTTTTCCCAACATCTTACTTGTCTTAATACCATGAAAGCAAACATCATTAGGACTGAAAATAACATTTCAATTTAGATCATTAGTTTCTCTCTTAACAGATAATAAGTTTGAAGTAAAGGTGGGCATGTAAAGAGCTTGAGCTTCCGTATTAAACAGTTTCAGATTTCATATTCCTTCTATGAGTATTCTATCACCCTTTGCGATTTCTACACTGCCTAGAGCTGGTGTTACATAACTAATCAGTCTAGCATCCCTAATCATGTGATGAGAAGATCCCGAATCAATGATCAAAGGTCTAGCAGTGTGAGATCTATTGTGAATAGAATTTAAAGTATTAATACAAGTGTTACCGGAGTTTGCATTGAGAGCCTTTATAAGGGCCTCAGGGTCTGACTTGCGAATAAATTCATCATCAGGAGATGGCTGGGACATAGCATGAGAGGTGGAACCACCAGTTTACTCATGAGCTCTTGCTTCATGTGTTTTGGCCTGGTTGTACTTGATGGATGACACTGGTCTGAGGGGAGGGTGGAGAATCCATCAGTTGGTTTTGGAGTGTCCCAGCTTCTTGCAATGCTCACACGTCACATGCTTATCTCTCCTTCCCCTTGGTTTGAAATGAGCTTTGTTAGCTGCTGCACTTTCCACCTTCTAATCTTTGTTTGCCATAGACAGCTCTTTTTTACCCCCAAAGTAACCATCCGAGCCTATCTCCTTTGAAGTTGAGCACACACATCAGCATAGCTTGAGAGCTCATTAGCTCTCAATATGTGTTTAATCACATCACTGAAGTTTGAATTGAGTGTAAGAAGAAGACCAAAGATCTTGTCTTGCTCACGCCTCTCCTCAAGAGTGTTGGATCATTAGTGCTTGGTCTTAGCATTTCCAATTCAGACCACAACTGACTATACTTCCCAAGGTGCTTGGTGAAGTCCATCTCCTCTTGCTGTAAATTGGTGATGGCTTTCTTAACTTCAAAGATTCTGATCAGATTTGAAGTATTGCCATACACCCTTTTCAAGGTATCCCATAACTGTTTT